TTTGAATTTAACCGGTATTTAAAATATTTTTATTTCATATAAAAATTCACCTGATTGAGATCGATTCAATGTCCGCTTTGCTGGTGCCTTGTTCGTGTTGGCCGCTTTCAATGCGCCGCTAACCACAGTGTGATTGGCCGTACCTTTCACATTCCATGCAACATTTGATTTAGGGCGACCACGTGACTTGACCGTTGGAGCAGGATCGCTTACTAAATAGATAAAAAAGTATCGAAGTAAAAAATAAAATAATTAAATAGAATAAAAGCGAATAAAAGATTTCATCTACATTTACCGCAAGTAAAAAACGAAAAAAAATCAACCAAGCCAATAGAAATAAAAAACTAAAGAGTGTAATGACTTACCAGATTTCGAACGATACATGCGCTTCGCTGGCGCCGGAGCTGGCCAGTCTTCGTCATCATTGGATTCATCGTCATTTGATGCCGATTCCAAATCGCTTCGTTCTGGTTCAAGCTTCAAACGTGGTGCATTCATGGCACCCATGGCACCCATGGCATATTGTGGAACCATACCATATCCAACAGGATTGAATTGTGGATAGTATCCGTATGGTGGAAAACCAAAACCTGGATATCCATAACTGGCATATGGAAAATTACCATCACGACTTGGCGATGAGAGTGATCGGCGATTACCACGTGGTGCATCGCGTCGTGAAATGCGATCTTTCTTGTTCTTTTCACGCTTCGGTTTTTGCGTTGCAGTGAAACGAACGGTCTTTGGTTTTTGTTTTGGTTTCACTTTGGCACTTGAGACCGTAGCCACAGGCTCAGCTGGTGCAGCTGGCTTGGCTTTGCGTTCACGTAATCGTGACTTGTACATCGTAGTGAATTTGAGGTTATGAATCGTTATGAATGATCGGAAAATAAACTAAAAATAAAAAAATCACGAAAAAATATATATAAAAAAATGAAATTTGCGAAACAACACTAAAAACACTATTTAATTTCAAAAGAATGCCATTAAAAACAAAGAAACCATACAAAAAACACTATTTAATTTCAACAAAACGTGAACACAAACATTTTAATAGGACCGCGAATAAAAGCAAAAAAAAGAAATAACGAAAACCAAAATTAATTTCACGTGAATTTTAACATCTTTTTCAATATTTTTTTTACTTTAATAAATACTCTAAGAAATGATAAAAATAAATAAAAACTAAAAATTGCTAAACTATACGTATACTTACTTCGATGCGCTTCGATGTTGTTTCAATGAGTGTATGACAGCTACTCATGTGTCGATG